AGGTGGAGGGTCATCATGTGAGCAAGTACCTGCTCTCATCCACAACTACCTTCAAAAGTCAGAGAGTACAAAACAGACAAAATAAGGGAGTGGTGGTTCATTTCTAAGAGAGGTTCTTTACAAAAGGACCAGGCATAGGATTCCCCCAAAAATCTAACACCCATATGGCGATTAAAACAATCAGCTATGAAAATGTGCCCACGACCTCTCAGAAACCCTAGGTACGTGGACATATTTACAACATCAGCGAGGCCAGGTTGTGTCCTGACCACAGGGAGGCAGGAGCACTAGTTTGGTGGGGGCTCTGTGCACGGATAACTTGCATCCTTCCACAAGCCGCCAGGGTCAGGTCACTGTTCTGCGGTCCCGATGCAGCCCCCACCACAGAACAGGTGTGCCCCAGCGGTCCCCTGTCATTGGCTGGCTGGGCCTCAGCACGCCTGCCCCTGTAGGAGCAGAATCCCCGCTGCCAGACGGACGAGCGTAAGCCCACAGGTGTCAGGTGCGGCCCACAGCGCAGGAGGTCTGGCTCCAGACGTGTCCCCGTCCCTCAGAGCCCTAATCTCAGCTGTGCTCTGGGGCTTCAGAGTGCCCCTCAGCCACCGTTCTCCAGAGGGGAGCACAAGATGTTAAAAATTGTAGTTTTCTCTATTTTATATTTTTAATTAATATTTCACATTTGTTTTAAAACATACACAACGTATCAGTGCAAGAGCACATGTACATAACTGATAAATAAAATAAGACTTGTGCTGGAGGCCACACTTGAAATGTTGCCGTGGGAATTCCCGGTCAAAGCGATGAGAGGGCGGGTACCCCAGACTGGGGCTTGTACCTGTTCACCCAGCGGGTGACTGACCCAGCCAGCCCGGAAGTTCCGTCCTGTCCTGAAGATACTCATGAAGCCAAAGGGTCTTTAATTAGAGGAATCTGCAGGAGGCGGAAACACTCCGGGGGCACAGATCTGGGCAGGGCAGAGGATTACTTAGCCCGCGGGAAGGCCGGCCCTGCCCAGGGGGCGCGAGCTGCACTGATTCTCTTCAGCATCACTACAGCCAGAGAACTGAAAAACCAAAAGTCTAGGTGTTGTGTCCGCAGGCAGCCCACTGACGGCGGCCTCCTAGGAATCCTAGGCACAGGAGCGAGCAGGGACGTGCGGTGACATGTGGCGACCTCGGTGTCTCCGCATCCTTCATAGGTCAGGAATTTCTAAGCAAAGGACTCAGAGCCGAGCCTCATGGGTGACTCTGCTCTGCTGGCCTGTGCTGACGATGGCTGTCCTCCCGCACCATCAATATCACGGCCATTTACTGAGGCCCTACTGTGCACAGTGCATCAGCGTAGCACTGACAAGAAATGAGAATGAGGCACAAACCCTGCCCTCGTGTTTGCTCGTGATCTGGTGGCAGACAAAGAAATACACTCACCTCATGAGGGCAAGTGAGAGGTGGTCACATCGGCGCCGGGAGGATAGGTGTGGAGCTGGAACCTGGGCATCACCAGAGCTATGCTGGAAATTGCACCTGCTCAACATTTTCAGGTGTTTGGTTTTTTTTTCCCCAGCAGAACCGCTCTGACTCATTATTAGAGGATGCATGCAAACCAGTATATTTGGTTTAAAGGTGGGAATTTTAGATACCAAAAACTAATAAAAATTGACTTACCTGAAAAATTTCGTCATTTAAATGATGCTTACTAGTGAAAAGAGCTTCTTTTCACGGTGTTAAAATGTGCTAACCCTATTTTCTACAAACCCAATGACTCTCTGGGGCAACAGAATTAAATTATCTGGAAATCACTCGGATACGGCACATCCAAAACTTCTTTTGTTCTTAGCACGTGTGAACATTTCACAGATGTGTGATCTCATGGCTCCAAAGAGAAAGTGTGAGATTCTGCAGGGAAGACAGTGCTTTCACTCTTCCTCTAAGTGTCGGCAGTTGCTCTTATTTAACAGGACGCAGGATGCGGGGACACAGGGGGCTGGGGGGAGAGGCTGTGGAGGGAAGACACAGAGCCCAAGAGCTGACCAGCAAACACAAGGGCAACACAAGAGGCCAGTGCAGGTCTTCTGGACAGTGGGGAAAGAATAGCCACTCAGAGCCGCCATGTGTCCTTCCTCCAAAGTGGCTGTAGATCAGCGAACCTTTGAGATAGATGTGGTCTTGCTTTGGGGCAAAGATTTGATGAAGCCCACTGTGACAGTTCTGCGGTCTGGACGGAGAAGCCAGGCCTGGCCGAGGACAGGATTACCTGAACTCACAGTGGCAGAATAACGACGCCCACGCGTGCAGAACTAGGGTGGAGGGCTTTGTGGGGGGGTCTCAGCGTGCCTCCCAGCACGGGGCTCCCAGCGGTTCTGTCTAGGCCTCTGATTTATCAGGCTTTTACCTCATGGCACAGAGTGCACGGCAAGGGGGGGACTTACCCAACCTGCAGGAGCTCCGTGACCCACAGGAGAGCCACTACCCAGCACACGGCATCTCGACACAGTCGAATCCTGGAGGGAAAAGAAAAACGGAAACAAAAACAAAAACGTGAGCAAGATCACCAGGAATGAAAGGAAAGTTCTGTGTGTAATATCCACAAGGGACGAGAAACACCGCCATCAGCTCCCCAGACAGGGGCCACGGAGTTTCACTGCCCCTGAGTTCAAGGTGCGCTCACAGCTCACGGTGGAGTCAGCACCAGTTGTCAGGATCGCAGTGTCCACGCCCAGGAGGCAGCACGGACCAAACAGCACCCCCCAGCCCTCATGCTCTATTTGCCATCAACAAACAGTGGGGCTCAGAAACTACAGCGCAGAAGCAGCCCTGAAGGGCAGAGGGGGTCCGAGCAAAAGAGGAACAGATGGACGAACCGGAGCCGCCACCTCCAGGTGGCTGAAGAGCCTGTTCTGTCAGATGAGCCTCGGCATCAGCGGGGCAGGGATGGAAGGATGCTGGCTTGGGCTCCATGGAGGGGAAACCATTTCTTGGCACCAGTTATCACTGCTGAACAATGGGGTCCCTCTCCAGCTACATCAGGCGAGCCCTGATGGTTGGAAGTGATCAAGAGAAGCCAGGGGCTCCTTCGTCATGAAACTGCCAGGGCAGGCAACGTCCTCCCTCTGGAGCATCCTGAGCTCAGTAAGATCTATGTGCCCAACCTCGTGTGGCCCCACCTACACAAAGTCAGAGTGCACACTTCTATTAAACCTGCGTCCTGATTTTCCAGGACAATTTTTACTCTAAATAGGCCATTCTTTCATTCCCCCTAAGCTTTGGTTTTTTGTTTGTTTTCCTTATACGTCAGACCGCAGGTCTTTTCTTCCTAACAGAGGCACTGGGGATTGAACCCGGGACCCCGTGCACACCAAGCGCTCACTCTGCCGCTGAGCCGTGCGCCCCCCCTTAAGCCCTGACGTGTGCCAGGGGTCCCACACAGCCTCTCCCAGTGGCCCTCCCACCTGGAAGAGCCTTGGCGCTCCGTGAGGCGGTGAGCTCTCGCTCCTTGGGAAACCATGGTCAGCACAGTTGCTGCGTGACAGCGGCAGTCCGCCCGCAGCAGGCGACCACGCCAGGACCCCTTCTCCCGCCGGCTCCCTCCCCCTCCCCGCCACCCTCATCACACACAAATGACTGTATCATTATTACTTACAGAGGTAGGGTCCTTCCAGGCCTCTCTCTTGACCCGACAGATGGGTATAAAAGATTAGATTTGCATGAATGGGATCACACTACACACACTGACTTACTACCTGCTTTTTCCATAACATTTATTAAAGTGGGGAAATACCCAGGTGAAAAAAAATCATGTTATCAGTTCCATCGTATTCCATCTATTCACGTTCCAAAATATAAACTGCATCTCCTAAGCCGCAAGGAAAACCACTGCACACACATCGTCACACACGCCCTGATTACCCTGTTAGTACAAATCTCACACTTTCAGGCTTAGTGTCAAGCTCTCCTCTGAAAGCCTGTGTCTAGTGTGATCACTGCTGGAAGCTGGTAACTGTGTCTATCCCCTCACCAGCATGAAATGTTGTCACTGTGCCTAATCATGGTGATGATGCCGTGAAGGTGTGTCAGTGACGACATAGTGTGCATTTCTGCTCTGGAGGTCAGCAGCTCAGCTTCGGGTTAGACCGCCACCACAGGTCCACCCGAGTCCCTACTAGGGAGATGATCTGGTCAAGGGACAGAGTCACCAGTGCCTCAACTTCCTCTTATGAGTAATTGGAATAACAACAGTATTTCTACCACATAAGGTTGTTATGAAATAAAATAATAATTTAAAGCATATATAAGAAGCATAATACAACACAACAAAATGGGGCTCAGGGCATGAATGCAAGGTTGGTTTAAACCTTGTATTTGAAAATCAGTGTGGTTCACCACACCAACAAACTAAAAAGAAAAACCAGGAAATCATCTCCAAAACTCAGAAAAAGCATCTGACAAGATCTAACATTCAATACTGATAAAAGCTCTCATCAAAGAAGGAGCAGAAGAGAACTTTCTAAACGTGAAGAAGAGCACCTGAGACAAACCTAGAGCTAACATCACACTCGGAGGTGAGGGACTGAATGTCTCCCCCGTGTCTGCCCTCAGACTGCCAGTCATCGCTGTCCTGGATGCTCCACGCAGGGCACTAAGGCAAGGAAAACAATACATAAGTGAAAAGCACCTAGATTGAAAAGGAAGAGGCAAAACTGTCACATGAGCACCTATGTAGACAATCTGGTAAATTCTACCAAAAACTCCTAAAATTAGTATGTGAGTTTAGCAAGGTTGCAGGATGCATAATCAAAAACAAAAATCCACTATATTTCCATATATTTGCAAGAATCAGAGTTTAAAATAAAAATAGCATCATTTACAATAGCACCAAAATGTTAATCTGACAAAAGAGGTGCGACACCTGTACACTGAAAACTACAAGACATTGCAGAGAGATTAAGGAAGACCCCAATAATCTAGAGACACAGTGCATTCATGCGTCAAAAGACTCCATGTTGTCTCCAAATTGAACTATAAATTCAACACAAAATCAACCAAAATTCCCTTATTTCTTTGTGAGAATGAACAAGCTAATGCTAAAATGTATATGGAAATGCAAAAGACCTAAAATAGCCAAAACAACTCTGAAAAACAACAAAATTGGAGGACTAACTGATTTCTGGGGCTATTTTAAAGCTATTGAAGTCAAGATCGTGTAGCACTGACATAAGGATTAACAAGCAGATGGCGCCACAGAGTCCAGAGACAGACCCACACGTGTGTGGACAATTAATCTGTTACAAATGTGCAACGATGATTCAATGGAGGAAGGAAATCCATGTACACCACCAACAAAGATGAGCTCAAAATGGAGAAAACACCTAAATGTAAAAACTAAAAGCACAAAACATGTGGAATAAAACACAGAGAAAATTTGGGGGATGCTGACTTACACAAGGATTTCTTAGAAACTACACAAAGAGTATGATCCATAAAAATAAACCAACAGTAGAACTGAATCACTCTGCTGTACACCTGAAACTAACACGGTATTGTAAATCAACCATACTTCAATTAAAAAAAAGAAATTGATAAAATAAAAATCTTCTACTCTGCTAAAGGCACTGCTCAGTGAGTCAAAAGACAAGCCATGGACTGGGAGAAAATATTTACAAAAACTTTACCAGACATATATAAAGTACTTTCAGAATTCAACAATAAGGCCAGAGCAACTCAATTTTAAAACTAGACCAAAGATTCGAAGAGATACTTCATGAAAGATATAGTTTTGAAAAATAAGCATCTGAAAAGATGCTCCAAATAGTCATTGGAGAAATACAAATTAAAACCACAGTGATTTCCTGCTACGTGCATATTAGCCTATTTAAAACTGAAAAGACTGACCGCACCAAGGCTAGATTCTGGAGGAACTGGAACTATGCTACACTGCTGGTGGGAAAAGAAATGTCACAAACACTCTGGAAAACAGCCTGGCAGCTTCTTCAAAAGTACGCTTACCATATGACTCAGCAATCCCACTCCTTATTATTCACCCAAAAGAAAGCATGTGTCCACATAAAACTTGTACACAAATGCTCACAGCAACTTATTTGTAATAGCTAAAAACCCGAAACAATCCAAATTTCCATCCTCAGGTGAGCAGATGAGTTGTGGCATAGCCATTCAATTAAATACTATTCACAGCAACAAAAAAGAATCAACCATTTTTTAAAAGAAAAAGGACTATTGACGCACACACAACGTGGATGAGTCTCAAAATAATTATGCTGAGTAAAAGAGGCCAAGGAAGAAAAGAGTGAATATGGTTCGATTCCATGTATGTAAAATTCCAGCAAATGTAAACTGGGATACAGGCAGCAGATCAGTGGTTGCCTGGTGACTGTGGGATCTGGGGAGAGGTGGGGGGGGGAGAATCACAAAGAGGCATTCTGGGGGGTGATACTTTGGGGGATAATGTTGATCACAGGCACATAGATGTCAAAGCTTATCAGATTTTGCACATTTAAATACATGCAACTTATTGTATGCCTGTTATACCTCAGTTAAAAATATAAAACATTTCAGATGATGAGTGTCAGAAGGACAGTAATTTCTCAGCAGGTGTTGGTCACCATTATTATTATTATTTTTCCACCAGACGTTTTTTCACGAGGTGACTTGCCTGGTCTGATGATTTTCTACCAACTGAACTTTTTTGGTAAGAGCTTTTTAAAAATGGAGAAAATTAATCTATCATAGTTTAAAGACAGTCCCTCCAGCCATGCCTCTGCCTTCCACTTCATCTTCCTAACACAGACGTGTGGAGACACACAGTCAGTCTTATCCAGGATGGTTTCTGATTGACAAGTCATATTTTTAAAGGGAGGAATTTTATTTTAAACATTCAGTCTTGTTTGCTTTCACCAGCTTTACTGAAGCATGATTTATATATATAATAAACCCACCCATTCTAATCGTACAGCTGGATGAGTTTTGGCAACTTCATGCAGTCATGGTACCACCATCTTTCTATCAGCCCAAAAAGTTCTCTCGCCTTTTTGCAGCCTCCTCTGTCCCTGCTCCTGGCACGTCTTACTTGCTTTCTGATGATGTTCTTCCTGTAGCTCCATGCAAAGGGTTTCACAGCCACGTGTACACAACGGCGTCTTTCACCTGCCACAGACTGCTGAGAAGCGCCCACGCTGCTGCCTGTGCATCGACAATTCTTTCTTTTCACTGCTGCCCAGCGCTCCTGGCATGGACATGCTCGGAATTCGCTGACTGACTCACCTCTTGATGAACATCTGGTTGTTTCCAGCGTAGTGTGTGTGTTTGCTACTATGAAGGAGGCTGCTGTGAAAATCCATGCAGAAGTCATTTGTGTGGACACATGTTTTCACTTTCTTCCCCAGGAATGAGATTGCTGGGTTGTATGTTTAACTGGATAAGACAGTGCCGAGCCGTTTTCCAAAGTGGCTGCACCATTTCTAATTTCCACCAGTGACGCAGGAGCATT